AGAGCTTCTTACCGCATGGCCTTGTGCTGTCAGCAGTGCCTCTTTATGAAGCGCTGCTGCTGCGGCTGTTGCTGCTGCTGCTGCTGCTGTTGCTGCTGTTGCTGATGCTGCAGTTGCTGCTGCTGCTGCTGCTGCTGGATTTGTCTTTTGTGTGTTGCAGCAGTATGCAGTGAGTTTGCTGCTGCAGCAGGAAGAGCAGCAGCAAGCGCGGCGATAAGAACAGTACTTCTCTACCTGCAACAAAGAAGAAAAAGAAAACAAAAAAAAAAAGAAAAAAATAAAATAAATAAAATAACCCTAAACCCTAACATATAAACGCCTCCCTACATGNAAAAAAAAAAGAAAAAAATAAAATAAATAAAATAACCCTAAACCCTAACATATAAACGCCTCCCTACATGCTGCAAAGCTGCTGCTGTTGCTGCTGTTGCTGCTAATGCTACTGCTGCTGCTGCTGCTGCTGCAGCAGCAGCTAACGAACAGCCAGGGCCCCAGGGGGCCCCTCTCCTCCTCCCCTTCAATAAACATTTTAGGGGGGCCCCCAACACTGAACCCAGGCAGCGGCCTCAGCACTGGGGGCCCTAGCCTGTCGTCTACTGCTGCTGCTGCTGCTGCTGCTGCTGCTGCAGCAGCAGCAGCAGAGGAGAGGGGCCCATGGTAGGGGCCCCCAGGAGTTGGTGGCTTACAGGAGCGGAGTTAATAAGGCCTCTTCTCTGTCTCTTTTTGTTGTTCTTTTTTGTTTTTTATTTTCTCTTTTCTTTTTTATTGCTTTTTCTTTGTTTCTTCTTTTTTTTTTCTTCCTGTCCCTTTTGTCTTTGTCTTTGTTTCTTCTTTTTGTCTCCTTTTTTGTTTTTTCTTGTTCTGGTTTATCTTTTTTTCTGCTCCTTTGTCTCTGTTTCCCTTTTGTCTTTGTTTCTTTTTCTTCTTCTCCTTTTTATTTTTTCTTTATTTCTTTTTCTTTATATTTATTTATTCTTTTTCGTTTGTTATAGCAGCTGCTTCTTTGGGGGGGGGNGGGGGGTCAGCTGGTGCTGCTGCTGCAGGCGCAGAGAAAAAGAATCAAGGCAGAGCAGGGGCGTGTATGGCTTCGCTGTTGCTGCTGCTGCTGCTGCTGCTGTTGCTGCTGCTGCTGCTGCTGCTGCTGCCGAGCCGACAGCAGAAGGTCTTTGTGTCTCCAGCCGGAGCAGCAGCAGCAGAGACAAAGCAGAAGAAGAAGAGACAAAGGAGAATGAGACAAAAGAAAAGGAGAAGAGACAAAAAAGAAGGAGAGAAGAGACAAAAGAGAAAAAGAAGAGAAGCAGAAAAAGAATAAAAAGAAAGAAACACACTGCGTAGGGGGTTTATATTTTTGTGAGAGAGCGGCAGAGAGGAGACAAAAAGAGAGGAGACAAGAAGAGAGGAGACAAGGAAAAGGTAATAGAATAAGAATAAGAAAAGAAGAAAAAGAAAAAGAAAAAAAAAAAGAAAAAAAGAAAAAAAAATATTTCACTAAGAGCAGCCGACAGTGTGTAGTAACAACACAAACTGCGTATGTGTCTCTGCTTGTTGTATTTTTTTTGTTCTTTTGTTTATTTATTTAATATATAAATTAAAATAAAACAAATATATTTATATGAAGAAGACACATATATTGAGAGAGGATTCTGCTTCAGGCAGCAGTTGCTTCTGCTGCTGCTGCTGCTGCTGCTGCTGCTGCTGCTGCTGTCGCTGCAGCAGCAAAAAAAAAAGGACGGGGGGGCGCGGGAGCGCCTAGAGGCGGCTCTGGGGGGCCAATGAGGAGAAGAAGAGAAATAAATTGTTGTTATATAGAAAATAAAAAAAGATAAATGCATAAATAAAGAAATATAAATAACAATATAAGCTGTTGCAGCACCACAAACAAACAAACTACACGCTATAGGCCGATCTGCACGATCCCAGCCTGCGCCGTCTCCCCTGCCGTCTCCATGGGGCCCCTCTCCTTCTCCCTGGTTGCTGTATTGGGGGTAGTTGTTTATTAATATTAATTAAAAATATTATTATTTGTTTAAATATAACAGAAAATATTCACTAGAAGAGGCAGAAAGGGAAACAACTAGCACAGACACAGCAGCAGCAACAGCAGCAGAAACAGCAGCATGAGTTCGTTTCTATGCAGTTTTCTATATATGAATATACTATATACGAACTAGTGCTTAC